AAACATAAAATTCTGTTAACCACGAGTATTACAACTGATTCCGATTAATCTGTTACTTTCTGTTGTTGACTTTATAAGGCACAACCTCCGCAGGTGGACTCAAAGCGTCATGTCAAAGAATCTGCAATAACACATGTAACACCTGAAGAAGTTCCAAGTAAAATACCGCATTGGAAAAAAGTGGTTTGCACATTTCAGGTCAGACGTTTGCACATTTTAAAATACAACCTCATTTCTAAGAAATGGTGCGCAGCTCGTTCAGCCAATGGGACATGAAATACGGAGTTCAAAGGATTCACATCATAGTTTGAATCATCCAACCTGTATGAGTGGGCACATGATTCATACATCCTGTGGCTGGTACTAGGTACTGGATATTCGAGCTTTCTCAACAACAGAACATATTTTCTGATAATTCACTATGACAAGGTGAATGGGAATGGAAAAGAGTCTTGAATTTCACACACACATCCTAGCTTCCCTGCAGAGGGCTATGCTGTTCCCACACAGGATGCTGCTTCAGAGCCCAGCTGAGACAGCACCTGCCCGGGAGCTGGAGGAGAGGGAGGTAGGCTAGATTCCAATGCAGTGCATGGGGAAGCGGGGTAGAAGACCGAGGTAAGCTGAGGGTGGGAACCAGGGCTCTTGAAGCCAAGAAAGTTACCACTGGCCATTTCCCTTCTTTCTGTGTTTATTAGCCCCACCCCCAACTCCTTTGGTGTTCTCTCTCTCTCTTCCCCTCTCGCTCCCTCTGTCTCCCCATCTCTCTCTTCCTTCCTCCTTCCCTTTCCTTCTGGCTTCATTTCATCTTGCCTCACTCCCCCTCATCCCCTGGTTTCTCCAAAATTGTATTGCTTTGCTGCACACGGGTGAGAAAACCACCAGGTCAAAACCAGTCACTGGGGAAGCCTGGGCTGCCCTGAAGTCCAAGCGGGATTAATTATGCCCGGACAACTTTGAACACACTTTAAAACAGGAAGAAGCAAAGCCAAATGAACTGAAAACTTGGCTTCAGTATAATTTGGTTCATTTGCGTATCGTAGTAGTGTCTTCAAAGAGTTAAAAAAAGACAAGGTCTTTTCCAGGAGCTTTTTGTTTGAAAACTCATTTCTGTCAGAGACGCAGTCAAACATAACAGTCACCAGATGCAGTTACAGGGCTGAGCACTCGGGGACGGACTGCGGGGCCATTCTCTCTGCCCCCAGGAGCCTCCTCAGCTCTCCCCCCTCCCACAAGCCCCGGTGTCATGGAGCACAGCACAGAAGGGCCAGTTTGCTAGGATGTTTGAGGGTGAAGTGTGTTTCTCTGCCTTTGCTGCCAAAAATAACTGCTGTGAACGGAACTGGGCCCCTCTAGACCATGGTTTCTCGCCTTGGCACATTGAAATTTGGGGCGAGGTGAGCCTTTGTCGAGGGCTGTCCTGTTTGTAGTAGGGCCTTTGCCAGCATCCCAGTAGCATGCACCCCGGCCGCCAAGTAATGAAAACAAGAAAAAACTGTCTTCGGACATCGCCGAATGTCCCCTGGGCAGCAAAAGCGACCCCTTTTGAGAACCATTTCTTTAGAGAAGAGGATAAAGTATTCTGTTCCAAGATAGACACACAAGAGCTTAAGTGTCTTAAAGTGTTTAGGGAAAGATGATATTTTAGGAAAAATATGGTGATAGCTTAACCTTCCTAGCTCTCAAGGCACTGCTCCAAGCTGGTGTTACTCTAAACTGAGAGCTTCATAAGGGTGGAAACATGTAGCTCATATACTGCCATAGTCCTAGGACCCGGTACAGGGCCCAGGACATAGTAGGTGCTTAATAAACATTTGTGGACTGAACACCTCATTTAGTGAGCACGTACTACACGACAAGCACCACAACATAGTCATGTCTTAACCCTAGTCGTTACAACACTAATACAGGATGGGCTTTGAGTAAAACTCGTCGATAAAGCAAACTCAGGTATCACGTCATTGTTGTTTTCTCCTAGTTCCTGTCCCCCAGCCACTGCTCTCCAATGAGATGAGCTGAAGTTCTTACCCAGCAGAGTGGAGAGGGCTGTAGATCCCCTGGGGCAGTGAGGAGGGGCAAGTGTCCTTGTGGCCTCAGAAAAATTGTGTCTCCCAGCCAAATTTCCCTCAATCCCAAAGACACAGTGGGTGTCAGGTAACTAGGAGATTCTTGGAATTATTGCTGCTCTCCTGGGAACTTCAGCCAGCTGCATGGCCGGGACCCACACTTGTCCCATCAATATTTAAACCAGAGTAAACAATACCCAGGTGGCAGCAAACCGCAGCTGAAGCTGGACAGGATTTGGCCCACATAGTGGGAACATGGACATCTCAAACATGTGCCCTTGCATTTTATAAGACTGACCTCTTTTTGCCCAGCCATCGCCTTAGGCTGGGGTTTTACTATCTCACCTCTATGGCACCAGTGAGGAAACTGGGGCCCTAAGAGGTTGCATGACTTGTTCAGATCACCAACATGCTTTGCGGTAGCTTGAAACCCAAACCACGCACAGTTGGGCTGACTCCGCACTCTGCCAGGCGGCACAGACCAGTGCACACGAACCCTTCCAGAGAGAGCTGGTCATTGCCATTCCCATGATCCCCATGTTACAACTCCCTGAATGGCTGGGGTGGGGGGGTCCTGTCTCCTCTGTTGGTGTAGGAGGGGCAGCTGAAGAGGACCTGGTTTGGAGCCAGCAGCCTCAAAGCTGTGCCAAGCTGGGGTGCAGCAGGCATGCCAGGATGAGGAGCAGGCAGGACTGGGCTGGCCTGGGAAGAACAAGCAGAGGCACCAAAAGAAAGAGAGAAAGAAAGAAAGCAGCATCTACTGCAGAGCTGAACAAGGTGAGGCAGAACCAAAATCAGGGACTGGCTCACCACTCCTGGGGGAGACAGGTCAGTGAGTGGGTCACTGCCTCCTAAGGAGGCCCAGGGGTGCCTGGCACCAGACAAGCCTGGCAGCCTGCCATGCTGGGGAGTGTGCGCGTTGACACGCACACAGAAATGTTTGCGGGGAAGCAAGCTAGCTGAGTAAAGGAGTAAGCCAGGGCTGCTTATGAATATCCTTTTTTTTTTTTTTAGAGCACTCATTCTTGAAAAAATGTTACGCTCTGGGCAGTTGAGTGGTCACCAGTCTGGTCGTTGATGTGTGTCAGTGTACAGTGGGGCCAGGCAGCGAGGACCAGGAGTGCAGCTGGTCAGAGCCGCTGTCTGCTAACCATTCCCAGCAGAGATGGTCGAAGCCAAGGTGCTTTAATTCAGGCAGGAGCTGCAGCGCACTGGGACTCCATCCCCCTTAACCGGGAACCCCACTGCAGGCAGGAAGCCAGGGCTACACTGGGAGAGAGGAACTGAACTAAAGGACGTGGGACAGAAACACAGTCTAAACAAGCAGGTGATGCCAGCCCTGACCCCTCCCCAGACGTGACCAAGGGGCTGGGCTCCTTCCGGACCAGGAGCAGGCCTACCTGAGCGAAGAGGCCAGGGTGGCAGGTGGCGCAGCGGCGTGGGATGAAGCTCACCTCCCGCTCCAGGTAGGAAGAGCTGCTGTTTAACACCGAAGTGACACACTGGCCTGACGGGGCGCCGCTCTTCATACGCATTAACCTTCACCTCGAGTCGCTCTCTTCATTCTGCAGGGATGTGTACCTATTACATATGTGAACAATTGTTCCAGTTACATCCCTTCCCTTCATAATGTGAACTCGTTTCATTTCATTTATTTCTCTTTTTAATTTAAAAAATTTTAAATTACAGCTTCTCTTTTATTTAAAGATTTTATTTATTTATTATATTTAGAGAGAGGGGAAGGGAGGGAGAAAGAGAGGGAGAGAAACATCAGTGTGTGGTTGCCTCTCATGTACCCCTCACTGGGGGACCTGGCCCACAAGTCAGGCATGTGCCCTGACTGGGAATCCAACTGGCGACTCTTTGGTTCCCAGGCCCGTGCTCAGTTCATTGAGCCACACCAGCCGGGGCCCTCATTTATTTTTTTTAATGCATGCAAAGCTAGTATTTAGTGTAAAAATACATTCAGGTTTTCACTGACATTTGTTCTAACCTTTGCTCCAGACCCGAGGAACGTGGGACATACAGGTTCCTGCCCCTGGTGCAGTGACACTCCTCTGGGTGGGGCCGGAACAAAATGGGCATGTGCACAAATAGGACAGTTCCACACGGGGGGGTAGTCGTGTCTCTGAAGTTACCACAGTGCACTGGGGGTTCCCGAAGCATTCCATTTGTTCTCTGTCACATCCTGAAGCTCATCGTAGATGGCGTTCTCCCTCGTCAGAGCGTGAGCCATAACTACGTGCATTCGGCAGTGGCACTCGGCTCGGAGCTGCGATGTTTGCAGCAGGCTGGTTTGGGTCGCGTCCTTTTTGCCCCAGCAAAGTGAAGTCACATGCACGATCAGGGAGTCCGTGGTGGCACTGACTTGCTGCTGCTGTTCAGGAGGGAGAGGCAGGTGTTTTGTCTTGGGGAAGACGCTCATTTTTAGTATGTTGCAATATGTCAAACCATGGTCCCCCCTGAGATGTCCGAGCCCTCCTCTTTGGAACCTGTGTGTCGTACTGGAGATGACAAAAGGGAAAAGGAACTTTGCAGGTGTGGTTAAGGGAAGGATCTCGAGCTGGGGAAATGACACTGAATAATCACGAGTCTTTGTTAAGAGGGCGGCGGGGCAGGGGGTAGAAGGGACAGAAGGAGCCTAATGATGGAACCAGAAAAAGGAAATGTGAGGTGAGCCGCTGCGCCGAGGCACGGAAGGGCCTCTCTGAGCCGGAAAGGCCGGGAAGTCTCCCCTAGGGCCTCCGGGGGGGAGGGGGTCCGGCAAACCTTGCTCTTCGCCCTCACACAAAACTCATTTCAAACAGCTGTAGAGCTATGGGAAAACCATTTCGTGTCACTTTAAGCCAAGTCGTGCTAAGTTGTTACAACAGCAATAGGAAGCCAACACGCACGCCTTTTCCTCTAGACCCCAGGACGGAAAAATGTACGAACCCTTCTCCTTCTGGGTCTGTCTCTCCTATCGGCTTGCAGAGCAGGGTTCGGCTGGGGAAGCCAGAGGGAACGGCAGGGTCGTCTAGGGAAGGAAGGCGACTCACACTCACATCCTCAGCCTGCCCCTCTGTCCCTCCCTGTGAACATCTGTAACCGCCTCTTCGCGTCTCCACTTGGATGTGGCATCTCGGAGCGGAGCTCCTGCCCCCCCCACAGCCCCACACCCTGAGCTGCTCCTTCCCTGGCCTTTCCCGTCCCAGCAGTTGGCAGCGCCATCCTCCAGACGTTCAAGCTAAGGACTCTTGAGTCTTCCTCGACTCATCTGCTTCCTCTCCAACTCCACATCCAGACTCCACATCCAGTGCGGGCACCACCTCAAAGGTGTATCCAAAACCCAGCAACTTCTCTCCACCGCCATGGTTACCACTCTGGCCCAGACACTATCGTCTCTCACCTGTGAGACCTTCTCCCTGGTTTTCCCACTTGTCCATCTTCAGCATTTCAGCTTTGACCTTGGCCTTCCTCCCGATCATTCGAAGCCTGGTATATCTCACTCAAGGGTGAGATATAGCGACTGCACTGGAAGAAGACGAAACCTCTTGATAAGAGTAAGAAAACCATTTGCAGGAAGCTCTCCAACAGAGTTTCCCTCGCCTGCCCACCCCTAAGCCAGTCACTGGCCAGAGGAAGGGGGTTACTGGACTGACGGAGACTAGCTGGGCTTGGCTCCGAGATGGAGATGGGGAAGAAGTAGACGCCTGCGTACTGAGGCTCTGTTTGTTGAGGAAGAGGCGCAGGGCAGGCGTCGGGTGAACATCAAGACAGCGTCTGCCTCAGCGTAGTAATAGTTCAGAGTCAGTAAGAATCCAGTTCCTTTTCTGAGCTGCTTAGTGTGAGTGGCCCTGGGCCCCCAGGACTTGGCCGTGTACAACAGAGCAGACGTCTACTCTTGACCGAAGAGGGACAGGGACGGGACAGGCAATGTGGGTGTCCTGCCCACGCGGAGAATCCTGCCTTTCCTGGGGTTTCCTTCTTTCAGGTTAATGGAACGAAGGTATGTTCTTACCATATTAGCATCCTAGAGCTGCCGTAACAAACCACCACAGGCGGGGTAGCATAACAGAAATTTATTCTCACACAGTTTTGGAGGCGAGTGGTGTGAAATGAAGGTTTCCAGGGTTGTGCTCTCCCAAGGCTCCAGGGAAAATCCCTGCTGTGTTTTCTCTTAGTTTCCAGTGTCACCAACAATCCTTGGCGTTCCCTGGCTTGTAGGTGCATCGCTCCAGCCTCAACCTCTGTTGCCACGTGGCTTTCTCCCTGTGTGTCTCTGTTTTCTCTTCTGCTAAGGCCATAGCCGAACTGAATTAAGGACCTGTCCTACTCCTGTGTGACCATATCTTAACTAATAACATCTACAACTATCCCGTTTGCAAATAAGGACACCTTCTTGAAGGTCTGGGGGTTAGGACTTCAGCATATCTTTTGGGGGGACACAGTTTAATCCATCATACTTACATTCACAGTATTAATTTTTCTTTACTTTTCCCTCTCCAATCTGAGTACCCTTTCTTTCATTTCCTTGTCTAATTTTCTGGCTAGAACCACCAGGCCTTTATAGCTATCAGTTGTCCTCTATGTACTGCACTAGCTGCACCCCATAGGTTTTGGTATGTTGTGCTATGTTTTTTTAAGAAACCATGGTATGTGCAGGCTTGACTTGAATTGTTATGTAGGTATCAGTAACTGAAATGTTAAAGAGGAACGTGTACAAAATAGGTTCCTTGCCTTTAAATGAGTGCAGGTAATTTACTGAATAATAAACCAGTAACCATGAATTAAGAATTGTAGTGTTTGTAGAGAGAGTGTGAAGACATCATGTATTAACTTCCTCTTTTCTTTTAGTTGTTCACACCTAGGTTATGTCTCACCACACTGCTAACGGGCCACAGCTGATCCCATTGCACACGTCCCGTCAGTTACCAGTTGCAGGTGCTGCGTGTTCCAGGAAGGAGCCTCAGCAGACCTTATCACATGTGAAATTTGCACGTTTTATTTCAGTGCATCACTGTTTCAAGTTTTATCTGCAAGCCAGCGACTTTATGTGTGGTTAATTGCCTCCATTTGACAGAGCTGTTTTTCAGACCCATGGCTGCGATGAATTCAGTGATGGAGTGTTTATATTCTTAGGGTTCCTGGGGATGGGACGAGCTACAGTGGGGAAGGGAACCATCACAATGAGACCGTGCCTGCTGTTGCTTATCTCTGACAAAGACATTTTTCTTCACCTTTTCCCAGCTCTTCCCCGACACAAGTGACATCCCTGTGCTCCTGGGGCTCTTCCAGGTCACTCGCATTCGTCCCCCTGCGTGCTCCACGCTGCCTTCCTCTTTCCTACCCAGTTCTGCAAATCACTTCTTAACATCTCAGGTGCCAGTATTCTCTCCTTCTCTTTCCCCCAAGGAAAGATGATGTCATCACCAAGTTCACTGTCTGAACACTTGACATTCAGACTGACATTTCTTTGTGTTTCCTTGTATAAGCCCACCTCTTGTTGATGCGAGAGGAGTGGCCAGCCCCTGGCGTTTCCACCCCGGGGTATTTATAGGCCATTATCACAGTGCCCCTCATCACACAGGCTGTGAAAGGAAGACTTTCAAGCTGTCTTCTCCCTCCATCCCCAATTCAGGCAGAGGCTGGAAATGGCATAGAGGATGGGACGAGGTCTGAATTGACGCCCAGTATAGCTCAACCAGAAACAGTCCAAATAAAAAAACAGATTCTGAGCGTTTCTCACCGTTTAGCTCAGAGTTCATCCAGCCTGCTGCTTCAGCAGCTGCTCAGGGGCTGCTCATGCTCACTGGCCTCTGCGCCGGGCCATTAGCAAGCTGCCAGAGCAGGTAGCTCGGGCTCTGGTTGCTGAGAACAGGCTGTGCTCAGAGCCACCAGCCCACCTCTTGTGGACTTCACTGGGGATGTGTTTGGACCTTTCAAGGTCAGTGACTGCTCAGCAATTATATACAGTTCTGTTACTAAAGGTCTCAGTCCCGACTATGGCTTATCACCTTGTCATTCAGAGAGGAAGAGGGGTAGTAGGAAGGTGGCTTTTAATAACTGTAACACTGTAACATTCTGAACAAAGACAGTCACCATTCTCAAGTTTCATTTTTTTGCATATTGTTTTTCATAGTTGTATAGCTAATGATGATATTTTCTACACTTACTCATACATATTATTGAATATTCTTTTATAAATATTTCCTAAGTTCTCATACAATATTTATGATAATTTTATTGGTTGCCTAATGCCCTGTTGCATATTTAGGCTTTTGCAGCAGTCACTTAGTTGAAGAAGGCGCAAGAGCATGTGGTACTTCCCAGGGCCATGGGGAGGGGCGCCTACTGCGGCCTCAGGGCGATGGGCACCTTGGAGGTGGGGTTGTCCCAGGATGCCAAAAACAAACCACTCACCTGTTTGATCGGACACTAAACCTGGTTCCGTGGGTAACTCATGATTTGCCTTAAAAAAAAAAAGACAATGTAAGTAAAGAAAAGACGTTTAGGCAAGTGGTTTTTTGTACTGCGTGAATCTCACGCTGCCTACAAGGGTCCCAAAGCCAGAGCGCACTGGTCGTCTCAATAAAACCTCTGTTGGGTCCAGGGCCAGCAAGGCCGCAGCTGGCATTTCTGCTTGAGGTTGTGAGGGAGCCGTGGACGGGCTTCCTGCTCCCCCAGCCCTTGTCCCACAGCTGCCGCCACTTGGCCCTGCCCAAGCACCTGGGGCCTCTGGCTGCTGGGCGAGCAAGTGATAATTAGCCTCAGGAATAGGAGCCACCTTGGGGAGGAGTTCTGAAAATATAGATTCTTGGTCCCCGCGCCCTGAATGGTAGGTATGGGATGGGGCCTAAGAATTATAGGATATATTTAATTATGCCTTGTAATTATTCCTCTAAATAGTATTTAATCGTGAATAATAGTGCACAGTAAACTCTAGTTACAGTGATGTATTGCTGGTGACTCAGATGTGTGTTTGTAAATTAGAGCTGACCTCTGATTCAACAACCAATAAAGTACGAACCTGTCATTTATTGTATGAACCCGCAATGGTCTTCTGTCACCACTAGGAGGCAAAGGCACAGAGTTTCTGCCTTTTTCTTTTTCTGGTAGCTTAGAACTACCTGGGAAGGTGCCAGACAGAGGAGGGGTCCTAGGTGCTCAAGTCCATAAGAAGGTGGGGGAGGGGCAGTGAAGGAAGCCACTGAGATGGGAAAAGAAGGAAACCAACATTTACTGTACTGTGTTCTGTGCTGGATTCTGCCTTAGGCATTTACACATACATACATATCTAATTTAATCCTTGTAGCTACCCCATGTACAGATGAGGAAGCTGGGAATCAGGGAGACAGAGTGACCTGCCCAAGATAGCAACGCCAGGACCATGGAGCACGGATTTTAACAGAAGGCCATCTTGACTCCCAAGCCTGAGCTTGGAACCTAAATAATACCAGAGGGAAGGCTGAGGTTCCTCACTAAAACTTGGCTTTATTTTTTATATTTGTTCTTTTTACTGATTTTAGTGCAAGGGGCAGGGAGAGAAGCATCAATGTAAGAAACCTAACCCGCAGCCCAGGCATGTGTCCTGCCAAGGAATCCAACCAGCGACCTTTCAGTTTGCACGCCGATGCCCAGCCCGCTGAGCCACACCAGCCAGGGCTTGGCTTTAATCTGACCATTGACCAGCTCTGTTCTTGCCTGTGCCCAAACCACAGCTGCCTGTGAGCCTCACACTTCACAAAGCCACCTGCATGCTTTTGCCTACTGGATGGGCTTCGGAAGCCTGGCATGGTTCCTCTCTTTCCTGAAATTGAAACAGCCAGGTTTCTGATAGGGTCAGGCCCTGAATCCTAACAGACGACCAGACACCCCAGTCTAGGGTGCTGGCAATGCGTGTGAGCGGCGGCCATGCCATCGGCCCTGCCCAAGCAGGGATGCTGGTACCCAGGCCTCCTTGCACCCAGACCTCCTTGGACCCAGCTTTCAAATGTCCAGCAGCACCCATTTTGGTCAAAGTTGTATTGATCCTTTATTCGGTTATATATATTGTTTTAAAAAACATTATCATGGATAATTCCACTTTTGGGTAAATGTACAAACAAACTGAAAACGGGAATTCAATAAGAATTTATACACCCATGTGCACGCAGCGTTATTCACAACAGCCAAAAGGCGGAAGCAACCCAAGTGTCCATCCACTGAGGAGTGGGTAAACAAACTGGTGCACACACAGTGGAATACTACTCAGCCTCGAAAAGGAGGGAGGCCCTGACACAGGCGACAACATGGATGACCTTGGAAGACATGCTACGTGAAATAAACCCGCCACAAAAGACAAGCATTGCAGGCTGCACTGAAACGAGATGCTGCGGGTAGGGCGGGGCGGACGGGGAAACGCAGACCTAACTAGTTCCAGGGGGACTGAGTGGCGGTCGGGGAAGACGGAGAGACTCTCGAGATGGACGGTGGTGACGGCCGCACAGCAGCGCGCTGTACTTCCTACTACAGAACGGCGCACTTAAACGTGGTTAAAGCAGCATATTTTGTGCGATGGACAATTCACCACAATTTTGAATTTTTAAAGTGTTTCCCGGAACTCTCGGTCCGGCGTTGTTAGCGTCCTGTCCTCTAAGGCAGCTTCGTCTCCCACGGAGCACCGCCGAAGGGGCGCATCCCTGGGCACAGCAGAGAGCCCTGCTATCCGGCTTGGCAAATGGGGACCCCAGAAAAGGCTGGCTCTCTGCAGCACGTCCTTGAAAGCTCCTGAGACCCCCCTCCCGTGCCAGCCTTCCGCTGGGCTTGAGTCAGCCCCAGCCTGGCCCGTCGCCGGCACACGCTGCCTCCGGGGGCGGCTGCCAACCTCGCTGGAGAGCCCGGGCCAGCTGGCTGCGCTCCCGGTTCACGCCTCTCGCTCCACAGTCCTTCGTGTTGCTCGGAGATCCCGGATTTTCCAGCTCCAGTCGAAGCAGCAGCTCATTTTTCAGTGTGACTCTTCCAAATTCCTTCTGTTGCCTGCGAGCTTTCAATTTTTCAACACAGCCGTCATGCCCCAAGCAAAGTATCTCCCTTTCTGTTTCACTAACCGCAGTACGTTCTTACCCATCTTGAGCCCTTTCTGCAGTGCTTGGGGCCGATGGCCCTGGGCTACGAGGGCTTTCACTGACCCGCTCTGTCCCCTGTTTCAGCTCAATGGTTTTACATATGGGGCACTGAATAAGGCTTACCTGAAGGAAAGTTTTCTGTTAAAAAAAATTTTTTTAAACAGCATTGCCTTCAAGGATCAAGCATCTCTCTCCAATAGAGCTGATGTGCTGACGCTCATCCCCTCTTCTCCAGGGCAGTGGTGCTTGGCTGTCCTCTCATCCGCCACCTCCTCACCCACACACCTGCTCCACCGTGCACACCCTCCAACACTTCCCCTTGACCTTGCAGAACTGCTCAGACGGCCATCCCTGCTCCTCTCCTCACCACCGCACTCAAGAAAACCTTATCAAAGGCTGTCCCCGCTTTGTGACTGTGCTCTCAGCTCCTTACACTCTGGCCTCTGCCCTGTCCCCTGCCCCCCCCCCACTCTTAGCCTGACGCCACACCCCTGCACCCTCACAGCCGACACTCTTCACCCAGGTCTTCCCTCTCTGCTCTGTAGTTGCCTTTCCTTTGACACCTGCTGTTCAGCCCTCTGCTCAGACCCTTCTCCCTCTCGGCCCACAGGCTCTTACTGGTTAACTCTAACTCACCCCTGAAGTCCAGCTGCTTGCTGGACATAGCCATTTGCATTCAACTCACTGTCTCCTGACCTAGGAGACAGGTCCCTAGACCCTCCACTTTTACCTCCTGCTCCAGCTGGAGCCTTGTCAGCATCCCCAGGGGTCTGCGTCCCGGGCTGTGAGCCCTGAAGTTCTCTCCCACTCCTTCCTCCCACGGGACACAGTCGGTCACCAAACCCTATTGGTCCTGCCCCTACAGTGTGCCTCTCACTGGTCTTTCTGTTCCTTTCACTCAGCTACTGGAACCCCAGCCTGATCAAGCTCTCCTTGCTCCTTCCCTGCCTAGCTGCTCACTTCCAGTCTCCCCTCACCCGCCCTGCCCCCATTCTGTCTCCACACTCCTGTCACTGCCAGGCAGTGGTGTGACCCTCCTGGCTCCAGCCGCCTCCCTGCCCGCCCTTTTACTGTGCTCACCGTGTGTTCTCTGACCGCTCACCGCTGCCCCAGTGCACCGAGGACTTCCTCCCCGTGGTCTTCTAGCTTCCACTGGCTGCTACGCCCGAGCAGCTGTTACATCTGACAAGACTCCTCTGTAGAGACCAGAGCCAGTCATCCTGCCAGCTGGACATGACCTCTTCCTCTTCCTGACTTTGGTGGCACTGGTTTTCCTACCTGGCGAGTGATCTGCCTGTCGCAGGATCCTCTCTCTCTTTCTCCCCAGCCCCCAGCCCCACGTGCTACTGGGAAGCAAGCTCCTTGCAGGGACATCCCTGTCTTAGTCATCTTTACATCCGCTTCAGGGTCTTATGCGAAGCGGCTGGTTTAAATGGACATGATCACTTCAGATGGGGGGATGAGGCACTTCTCTCTGTGCTCCTCTGCTTTCTGGCAACAGAAACGCGTCGGGTCACCCCTCAGGCAGCGCAGGTCCCCTGTCATCAGCTCTTCTGTCAGAACCACCTTGGACAAAAGACAGGGCACTTCAGGGTCTCTCACAATCACTACTGTCTTCCCGAGTCACTGTCTTTGATGGAGGTCCAGATAGCCTAAGTGACCCTCTCTTTGGATAGGGACTCCTGGTCAGGCCCCTGGGTCCCTGGTGGGCTTGCTGGATGCTCCCAGGAGGGGTCGCTGCCTATGTCAGGGCACCTACAGCTTGAGGGGCTCCAGGCCTCCCCAGGCCATGCATGGGGGGCTTTCCCGACCTGCTCACAGGAATGCCTGCTCGGTCCTGAGGGTGGGAGCAGAGAGAGATCACGGGGTTTAGAAAATAACTTTATGGTAAGGAAGACCTGTAAGTAATAAGAAGGCTGTCACCGTAACCTCAGCTCTTTTACACAACTGTTTGCACATTTCTCTTTAGCCTTGTCCATATGCAGTCTATTGTAAATAGTTACAGTAATATTATATATGTGGCCTTTTTCACTAAATGTAAAATCATAAACACTTTCCTAGGAGTCCACAGCTTTCACAGTAATCCCTGTAATGTCTATGTGATATTACCCAGGCAATTATTTATTTATCCTTTTTATTAGACATTTAGATTGTTTCTGATTTTCTTATACATTGAAGGTGATGCATTATAGCTTTTCTCTTATGTTCAATTACTTCCATGAGATAAATTCCCAAGAATGGGGTTACAAGTCAAGGGACATTTTTATGACTCTTGATTCTTATGCCCGTATGGCTTTCCAGAAGAGCCGTACCCATGTGCGGACAGCAGTATCTCAGCGGCCCCATAGTCCATTTCACTGCCGATGCCTCCGCGGATCCAACACGTATTTGTCTGCTTCTTATGTGGGAGGCGCTTTCATACTGATTTGTGCATTCAAACCTCTTCCTTTCAGAGTTGGAGGATGTCTGCTCATTTTATAAATGAAGACAGACCCAGAGAAGTGAGGCACAGGGTCGTGGCTGCAGGCTTGAAAACAATTGCACGTGTACAGTCACGCGGATCTCCAGACCTCCATGCCCCGTCGGTGCCATTTGCGTGTTTGCTAATTTCCTGTTAAGGCACAGCCACGAAGTGACACTGCAGGTGTGTCCTCTGGCCGTCGCCACCCTGCCCGTCTTTTCCATGGTGTGTCTTTGGGCAGTGGAGGTGGGAAGGCCCTGGATCTTTAAGCCCCACGGCTAAGCAAGATCTCTGTTGACCAATGAAAGACTTGCTGGTGCTGCTTTCCGAAAGGGGCTCCTGGACGTCCTCCTTGGAGTAGTTCCTCTGGACTGCGGCAAAGCAAACACGAAGTAGCCTGGGAAGCCCGTCCTCGCCTCCCCCAGGGCTTTGCTTACACTCCTACTCTCTCTTGCAATGCCACGAAAGCCCTGTCCCTGGCTCTTCATGCGCTCACCCTCTCTGATCTTTAAGGACTAGCTCCTCCAAGAAGGCTTTTATCATTTATCCGCTGCTGCCTTACAGACCCATCCTGAGAATGTCTACTTAGACTAATAATGATTTAATTTCCCACGATTCTGTGGACTGGTGGAGCAGCTCCTTTTGTCGGTTTGGCTTGAAAACCATCACTCAGTGCAGGGTACGCAGGGCTAGGGGTCCAAGGCATCTGGTGGCTGTTGGTCGACAAGCTCAGGGTCCATGGCAGAGGGAGACACATGGTCCTCATCTGGGAGCCACAGATCACTGGATCGTGACAAGCTGTAGTTCCTCCTCTGTCACAAATGGTTCCCCTCCCTCCCAGAACACCCCTGCTCCTCCCAGGGCCCTCTGATGGATGTGACGGGAAGCCACAGAGGCCCCAAGGAGCACCCCTCAGTAGTGACCAGGCCCTGAAAGAATCTGCAGTAGGGAACAAGAAGAGGGCCCAGACTGCTGCGGGCTGAGCTTGAAAAGCGCTGAGACACTGAGCGGAAGGCGCTAATCGCAAGATAAGGAAATCAAGACAAGTGTCAAGAAGCAGAAGAAAGATGGGACAGCCCAGCATTAGTGACAAGAAAGCACTGTCCTGTTCCTGGGCACTGCTGACCTCATGCATCTTTCTCTTTGGCTCTACAGAGGACCCTGGAAAAGGAAGAGGGAGCGTACCTCTCTTCTCTTCCCTTCCTCGCAGGATACCAGGCACCCTGCAGAGTTACATTTCCGACGTCCAAGTCTGTCTGGTAACATTCAGGAATGCAAGCGGCTCGGCTCCCCACCCCCACCAGCCTTGCAGGAACAGCCTGGCCAGTGTCACAGCACACGTGGCAGAATCGACTTCTCTCTTCCACCCTGGCCTGTTCGTCCATGCCCTTTGCGCTCGCCCTGCAGCCAGAAGCTCCCGAATAATTAACTTGAACAAATGGAGACGCTCAGTGGCTCTCCACTTCCGCCACACATTATATCACCTGGGAGCACTTTGAAAACTTCAGTCCATCTCGGGTGGATCCCGGAGCTAGCTGCATTTTCAAAAGTGCACTGGGTGATTGGTATGCAGCGTGACTGGGAACAGTTGGAAGGACTAATCTTGCCAGTTTGGAAAGTTTAGTCAACACAGAATTTGTTGATCTTTTGAGGTATCTGAAAATACCACATAAATCCTCAGCCTTATGCACCTTAAACTAGCAGCACCTAGGAGATATCTTTCCTTGGTACTGTGGCCCCTGGGTTGCCTATTGGGGTAATTCTTGTGGATCTTGTGGGGGTCTCCTTCAGCCCCTGGCCTCCTGAGCTGCCCGCGGTGTGGAAATATGGCAACTACTCCTGTGATCACACAGAAGTTACCCTGTGCATCAGTTTAGTGGAATCTCCAGTATGACACTGAGGAACAGTTTTGTTGCTGCCGTCCCTGATGTAAGTCTTAGAAAGTTTCATTCATAAAGGTTTTCCTTGCAACTTGCCACAGACTCTCCAAATCCACAAGCTGTCACAGAGAATAGGAACACCCTTGTCCCAGCATTGCTGCTCTTTCTGGCCATCCCGTCCCCGTCCAGAACCTCCCCATCTGAAGGTTCTGACGGGGAGTCTTCCTTCCACGATTTGGGACGAGACTGAGGACCAGTGAAGCAGCCTCTGGGGGGAAGCATGTCCACATCACTGCCCACCGAGCAGACCCTTCTTCGTTTCTTCCGAATCAGCCTCTCTCAGCCTCCGAGGGCTGCCTCGCACTGGTCCACGATCTGGGGACGGCGACTGTGCTCCCACGGTGCACACACACCCCCGCCATATCGCGTCTGAGCTCTCGTCTTTCTCTGAAAGCCAGAGTTTGTTTTTTGCTTGTCAGCATGTAAAGAACACTCTTCCTGCTTGTCACTTTAATTCCCCTCTGTTGGACCCTTTCCAGTCCTCTCGTGTCATCTGGAAGTGCTGGAGAACAGACTGCCGCACATTATGGTGTCAGTTTACCGTAGTCTGATGCAAGGATGGAATTGCGATGCTTAGTTTCCAGGATTCTCGCCCACATGTTACTAGGGTTTTTTGGTGGGGTCGGTGGAGGGGGGGGGCATTGCCGTGCATTCCTGACTTCAAGGAATGGTTTTTCAGTGCCATTAAATGATTTTCCTTGAGCTGTTGCAACCTTCCTGCTTCCCACGCGACACTCGGCCGGCAGGTGTCTGCCTGCCTCGGCAGCTCTGTGCCTCCTCCAGCTTCCTTCCCGACACGGTGGGCTCCTGCCTGGCCAAACCTGCGGCCCTGAGCGGCCTGGGAGGTTCACTGTGCTCCTCTTCCCGGGTGACCTACAACCACGGAAACGAAGACTGGGATGTTCAGACTGCAGACTGAAAATGGGGCAGGGCCTGGCAGAGATTTTAAAAATACTCTTCCTGTTTTTTAAAAAGGGCATCTTCATTGAACACATTTTGAGACTATAAAGAAAATACAAAGAAAATTAAAATCACTCTTAATCCTACCACTCACAGGTAATCCTGGAATATGAATCCCTGGTTTATATCCTTCCAGTCTTTTATTCTGGGAGTATCACACACACACTCTTTCCCTGTATTGTTTTTATAATGTGATATTTGATATCTAACAACTACGCCTGCAAATAATATAACATTGAATGTTGACTGTAACTGAAAAGGATTAGACACAAATATACTTGATACAAAAGGCTATATGTAACATTGTACACACACAAACCAAGAAGTAAAACGTTAGAAGTAATTGGCAATAATCAGGAGTAATCGGCAATAATCGTCACTCACCTAAGTGCGCCCCTAGCCACCGCTTCCTGGTACAGGGTAACTATTTTCTTAAAGTCTGGGTTTGTTATTTTCTTGCTTTATAAAAGTAATTATGCAAATTATTTGGGTTTACTTGATTTTAAGCTTTATAAAAATGGTATCATTCTATAACCATATGTCTCTTGCTTTTTTCACTCAAACGATACACTGGTTCACTTTATTGGTTGCCTTTGTGGGGAGACCGTTGGATGTGAAGTATACAGATTTCATTCTGAGCCAAAGACACTGCACCAGTTTCCATCCCCAGCATCAAGGTGCAGGGTCCCAGGTGAGCGCCTTCTGCCCAACATTTGTGATGGTCAGACTTTAGAACTTTTGCCTTTCTAGTAGCTGTATACTATTGCAGTGTTAATCTGCGTTTTTCTGAATACACATACTAATAAAATTGAGGATCTTTTCATACTTTTACTTGCCATATGTTTGCTATTCTTTAAAATGCCTTTTTATGCTTTTGCCGCCTTTTCTGTTAAACTTGCCTCTCACACATATGTTTAAGCAAAATTTGAATTATGCTACATACACTATGTTACACATTCCCATGGTATGAAATATTCTTTTACACTCTGATTTTAATGCCTGTGGCATCTTCTATCTCATGGATATTTCGTAATTTAATTAATCAAAGCCCTGTACCTTAACATTTGTTTTTTTTTTAGTTTTTAAAAGTAACTCTGGTAAGCTACCCTAATGCATAAATTTATACACATCACTTAATGTTTTCACAAAATAAACTGCAAGAATTTGAATTTCTTGGTCAAAGGATATCAACATTTTTTAAAGATTTTATTTATTTTCAGAAAGAGAGGAAAGGAGGGAGAAAGAGAGGGAAAGAGAGGAAGAGAAACACTGATTGGTTGCCTCTAGCACCCCCCGACCGGGGACCTGGCCCACAACCCACGCATGTGCCCTGACCAGGAATCAAACTGGTGACCCCTCAGTTCACAGGCCAATGCTCAGTCCACTGAGCTACACCAGCCAGGGCAAGGATGTCAACATTTTAAAAGAGTTTGATAGGTATTTCCAATCACTTTCCAGAGAGGTTGTATTATTTACATTTCTCCCCAAAACACTTTAACACTGGATATTAAATTTCACATACTTTGTTATTTAATTTGTAAATATTAGACATAAAGATAATCCACAGTTTAAACTATTCTTACTGGCCAGTGTGTTTCTCCTTTTACTGGTATCGATTCTCCCCGCCCCCCCCCGCCCCCCCCAGTTTATCGTTCGCACCAGACTGAGGGCACGTCCAAGCACTGCATTCAAGATTGCTTTGTCTACCTCTTTCCCTTCTTCACTGTGGTTGTGTCATTCATGTGACATGTAATTGGGTTTATCTGTTCCTGTTAAGTTTAGTTCCAGGCTTTCATTTTTCCCTAGGCTTATGGATTTTATTTTATTTTGTGACTGTATATGACATGAAGATGCTTCCCAAAGCCAAACTATACACCAAAAGACACGCTGTATCCAGTATTGCCCCTCTCTCCCTACCCTTTCCACCTTTTTCCCTCACCCAGTTTCTTACAGGAAACCAGTTTTATTGTTTTCTAATTTATCGTTCTTGTCATTCTTTTTACTAAAATAAGTCAAAGGTAACATACTACATATTTGCTTTTATAACTCAATACTATACCCCGGAAACTGTTATGTATCTGTTCATAAAGATATTCTTTTTCTTTTTAAAATTTTTTTCAATCACAGTTTATATTCAATATTATTTTGTACCAGTTTCAAGTGCACGGCATAGTGGTTAGACAGTCATATAATACATGAAGTGGTCCCCAATACTCGCAGGACCCACTTGGCACCAGCATAGTCATTACAATATTGCTGACATTTTGTCCACATGACATTTTGTAACTACCAATCTGCACGTCTCAATCCATGAGGTTAATCTGTACTCCTATTTACTGCTTCCTAGTAGTCGGTTATGTGGAAGGGCTGTCGTTTACTCACCCCGTCTTCCATGTTTGGGCATTCAGGCAGTTTCCAATGTTCTTCAAATGTTGCTACGATGCGGAAGCTCACACGTGTAAGAGTGTGTCGTACCCTTGGAGGCATCTTTTGGGTGAATTCCTAGAAGTTGGAGTGCTAGCTTGAGAGATAAATATATAAATTGTTTCATCAGATATTGCCAAATGCTCCCCCAGAGGGTTTGCCCTATTTTTTATTCCCTTTAGTAATATCTGCCTCCTCATAACGTCACCAACACAGAAGAGGCCAATGGCTATCAGTTTGCCTCAACACCACTTATTAAAGAATCCTTTTTGCCCGGGCTGGTGTGACTCAGGGGATTGAGCGCTGGACTGCAAAGCAAGGGGTCATTGGTTCAATTCCCAGTCAGGGCACATGCCTGGGTTGTAGGCCCAGTCCCCAGTGAGGGGTGCATGAGAGACAACACACATTGATGTTTCTCTCCTTCTCTTTCTCCCTCCCTTCCCCTCTCTCTAAAAAGAAATAAATAAAATATTTAAAAAAGGTCCTTCTTTGCCCTAGCTGGGTGGCTCAGTTGGTTGGAGCATCTCCCATACAGTAAAAGGTTGAGGGTTCGATCCCCAGTCAGTGCACAACAAAGTCCTCCTTTGCCTTAGCCATTTGGCTGCTTGTCATATACTAGATTTTACATATGCAGTTGGATTGATACCTGTATCTTCTATTTAGTTCCATTGGTCTGCCTACTCCTGTGCCAGAACTGCCATGTTTTCATTCAGAAGCTCTGCAGTGTGCTTTCATATTTCCTAGGGTTAGTCACCTCTCATGCCTCCTCCTTTTCTGTGTCTTAGTAGCTGTTCTTGAGTGTTTATTTTTCCATAAGAACTTGGGGATCAATTTATTTAGCTACAGAAGAAAAACTTGTTTATATTTTTTGGGGGGGTGGAATCATACTAAATTTAGAAATTAACATAAGGAGAACTGTCATCTGAACAATGTTGAGATATTTTAAGCAAAACGAAGGTCTGGTTCAAGTATACTTTCCTGTCTTTCAGGATTGTTTTATAGTTTTCTTCTCTCAAAGAACCAGACATATTGATATACAATTCACATACATTTTAATTCATCTATTTAAAGTGTGTGGTTTTGGGTGTATTCACAAAGTTGTGTTACCATCGCCACAATCAGCTTTGGAACAATTTCCCCGATTTGAAAAGTAACCTTGTACCTATTAGCTGTCCTTTCTCAGCTTCCAACCCCTCCAGCCCTTGGCAACCACTAATCCACTTTCTGTCTCTGTACACATCTGCCTATTCTGGGTAGTTCATGTATTGTATAGGATTATGTAATACGTGGTTTTCTGTGACTGGCTTCTTAAACTTGGCATCCACTTTGTAGCATGCACTCCATTCTTTTTTTATTGATGAATAATATTCTATTGTATGATCGGATTCACCACATGTTGTTTATCCACCAGTTGCTGGAGTTTGGGGTTGCGTTCATCTTTTGGCTATTTTGAATGAGACTCTATTATAAACATTTGTGCATAGATTTTGAGTGGGCAAGCATTTTCAAGGCTTGTGGGTATGTACTTAGGAGCAGAATTGCTCGCTCATAAGATAACTTCACATTGAACATTTTGAGGAACTGCCCAGCTGTTTTCTGGAGCAGCTGCGCTGTCCGCACTCTCACCAACACACTGTCCGTGCCTTTCGCTGCAGCTGTCCTGGTGGGGGAGGAGGGCGTCTTGGTCGGGGAGGAGGGCACTGCATTGCATTTCGACTGACTTTCGTTAATAGCTAATCATGCTGAGCATCTTTCCATGGGATGATTGACCCTCTTCTCTGAAGAAGTATCTGCTTGAATCATTTCCCCATTTTCAGCTGGGTTATTTGTTTTATAACTATAGTGGGTTTTTAAAAATATATTCTGGGTATGTTTCTTATCCTACACAGTATTTGCAAATATTCACTCTCATTCTGTAGGCTGTCTTTGCATTTTTTTAATGGCGTCTTTTGATGCATGAAAGTTTTACATTCTGATGAAGTAGAGCTTGTCTATTTTTTCTTTTGCCACTGGTGTTCAGGGTATTGCATCTGAGAAGGCTTTGCCAAGCCCAGAGCAATGAAGATTGACATCACGCGTTTGTCTACGACTTTTATGTTTAGGTAGTGGAAGTCCTACCCAGTCCTGCAGAATGTGACTGCATTTGAAGGTAAGGTCTTTAAAGACATAATTAAGTTGAAATGAGGTCATGGGGGGGGGGCTCTACTCCAGAACAGCTGGTGTCCTTGTGAGAAGAGGAAACTAGGACAAAGACGCTCCCAGTACAAAGGGAAGACCCTGTGAAGACACAGGGAGAAGACAGCCATCTACAAGCCAGACAGAGGCCTCAGAAGAAGCCACACTGTCAACACCTTCGTCTTGTACTTCTAGCCTCCAAAGCTGTGAGGAAATAAATGTCTGTTCTCTGGGTCAGTCTGTGGGACTGTGTTACGGCAGTTCTAGCAGGCTAACACATAAACCCCACTGGGTCTTGGCATGCTATTTTCTTAAACCACATGGGCTTTGTACTTTTTTTTGAAGTAACTTCCTCTATTTCTTTTCCTCTTGTATAGGAGTGGCAAACTGCAGTTCATGGGCCACACCGAGCCTGCTACCTATTTTGGTAAACCCAGTTTATGTGAGCCGCTTATTTGCATGTCATCTGTGGCTACTTTTGTGCTACTGTGGCCAAGTAGAATAGTTAGGCCTGCAAAATGTTTACCATCTGGTGCTGTAGAAAAAAATTGCTGTTCCCTGTTGTAGTACTCAGGATGGCCTTATGTGCATCGCTCCTTGAATTACTGCACTTGAGAAAGTTTTCTCTGTAGCCTTTGATGTTTGCAAAACAGCATGGTCGATAGAAAATCCTTCACTTGCATCTCGTTTCCTTAAGTAAGGGCTGTTTTTATTCCAATTCCACAATCTTTGCAGTCAGGAAGCTGGGCAGGGCTCAGCTGGATGATTTTCTGCTGCACGTAGCTTTGGCTGGGGCCACTCAGTGGTATTCAGCTGATGGCTGGACTGATGTAAGGCATTCGTGATGACTTCACTCATATTAGTTAGGATCGGCCAGGCCCCTCTCCTGCTCTGTATAGTCTCCAAGCCTCTCCACAGAGAGTCAGATATTTTGCACAGTGGCTTGGGCTGCAAGAGCTAGTGTTCCCAAAGACCCAGCTGGACTCTTCAAGACTTCTCAGGACCTACACATGGAAGTGCTATACATAACACCCCTCGTTCCATTAGTCAAGCAATTCACTCAGGCCAGCCTGGAAGGATGGAAGTGATAGGGAATGTGCAGCTCTCTTGGATGTCCTGCAGCCTGGTGTTCTTACCCTTTGAAGAAATTTGAACTTTCTGCCTGGAGATTTGGAAGATTGTTATTATTATTCACTTATCTAATAATTTTAAGATGCTAGCTCTCCGAATTGATCACACTGTGGTCATTTCCTCAAGCTTCTGTGGGTCCTTTCATTATGTAGATTTACATTTTCTTATTTCCAGAAAGTTTCTGGAATAATCGTTTCATTATACCAGGAACTTCAGCTACACATATTTTGGGCATTCTTTGCTTGTGTTCAAGTGGCACTCCAGAGAGAGCAATAAGTACAAAAGTGTGGAGGCGAGAAAAAGTGGGGACACCCAGGAGTCTGGGTGGGGTGTGTGCAGGGAGTGACACGACAGCCCAGGGCTAGACGAACGGAAGGCCCGTGCGCCACCCTGAGTGGTGACACTGTGACAGCACGTTTCTGCAGGTTTTTTGATGTGCTGTATGGAATGTGAATGGGAAGGAACAAGACTACAGGAGGGAGACAAGATAAAAGGCTATTACGATAGTCCGGGAGAGAGGGCCTAAGAGAGCCAGAGTCTGGAGTCATTTATGGGGAAACTCAACAGGGTTGTTGAGTGGTGTGGGGAGAGGGAGGGAGGCATCATGGACGACTCCCAGGTTCGTGAATGGGGCATCTGAGTGGACGGTAATGATAACCAGTTCCGGACATAGTGAGCCGGAGGGGTCTCTAGGACATTCAGGTAGGTGAGTCTGGCAGGCTTTTGTGTATCTAGAACCCTGATGACCGGTCTGAGCTAGATAATGCATTTGGGCGTTGCTGATAAGTGTGGCAGATGAAGACGGAGTGAATGAAATGACTCAGGGAGAATGCATGGGGTGAGGTGAAGGCCGAGGACAGACCAGAGACGGGCGTGGTCACAAGGGTTAGCAGAGGAGCCATGTTGTGAAGACACCTGGTGTTTCAGGAGGAGTGGAATGCTCTCGGAGTGGCCTGGGGCATTTAGGATTAACCAACAATAATGACTGAGAGAAATGCTGTGACGTGGTGGGGACAAGTTACAGAGCCATGAGGTGAGGAGTGAGAAGCTGCCCAGTTGGCTGAGATAAACTACTTTCAAAGTGTTTGTGAAAGAATTTACAGAGATGGAGCAATAACTATGGTGCAATCGAGAATAACAGAGGGCTTTATTCCTTTTTCCTTTTTTGAAAAAATCCTCACCCAAGGACATGCTTATTGATTTTAGAGAGAGGGTAGGAAGGGAGAGAGAGAGAGGAAGAGAAACATCGATGTGAGAAAGAAACATGAATAGACTGTCTCTCGCAGGCGCCCCTACTGGGGACAGAACCTGTAACCTAGGTATGTACCCTGACCCAGAATTGAACCCATGATCTTTCAGTATGTGAGACGTTGCTCCAGCCAACTGTGCTATGTTGGCCAGGGCTCTTTCTTTTTCTTTAGGATAAGAAAAGCTTGAACATGAATAGAGGTTAAAGGAATACGACAATCAGGTAAAAAAGAAGTTGATTTTTGGAGAGGGGAGAATGATTGAAATATGTTTGAGAGATGTTTTCTGAGGACTCAGGAGGTGATAAAACACAGAACCTTATAGGGAAATGCTAATATGAGTGTACTTAAAGTAGTCAATTCCCAGAATGGTTTATAACAGTCTGGCCCACATATTGAAATTACCTTGCTTTCCATCAGTAGGGCAAATATTTAAATATTTAAAGCAATATTTACATATTTATCTTATATCATTTACACATCTTTTCACAGAATAGAATCAATATTTTACCCTTTCAATGCCTCCTACACAGTTGGTGCTCAGAAGTGGTAAATGAATAAACAAGATGTCTCTTCTTTGTATTCTTAGCATCTTAACACATCCAGAACGCAGTCGAGGCCCTGCATCCAAGCGATCATGTCTGCTAAGCATGCCAAGTTGTCCCGAGGGTCCCACGGGAAAGGTGATGCCTTTTTCTGAGGAATCTGTTTACTCCCACTCAACAAAGTTGGTTGCCAGCATTTTTCCTTCACCATAGGGGTTTAAAAATAGGAAGATGAGAGGAGGAGGAAGAGTTTGTTCTGAAGGCAGGCAGACAGCAGCAGGTGGCTCGATCTGCCTCATCATAAGGTGCCAAAAAGCAGTCAATACCAGACTGAAAACAGGCTGGCTTCGGGTCTCTTCACTGAGGGAGTCAACACACTTCACTCACATGCAGTAGTCCTTGAAGCACACTGCTCTGTTCAGCCTTAAAGAGCGTTGAGGAAAATGATGCTTTGGAGTCATTAAAAAGGCTTAGCTGTCTCTAACTTGGAATCATCTTATGTTTTACATGGTTTGGAAAGGACTCTATCAAAAATGTATAACATTAAAAGAAAAAAACCGATGCTGAGATGGGAAACCTTGGCGACCCTTTGTTCATTTGCCCAAGCTGTTTTCCTCGTCTTCGATGCCCTTCCCCTTTTCTACTAAGCCTCTGTCCTTTTCTTCCTTCAAGGCTGAACACAAATGCCACCTCTTCTAGGAACCTGTCTCCACGGTCCAAGCGGAAGTGATCTCTTGCTCCGAAGCCCTCCACAGCATCTCCCTGTGACTGGCTTTGCACGGGTCACCAGTCCAGGTTGTTTATACGGCTGCTTTTCCACTAAGTTATGCGCTTCTCGAGACCAAGGACCGTGACCGGGATGGTGTACCCACGCAGCACCCGGCACAGCGCTAGGTACCGAGTCAGTGTTCAGTAAACGCTTGCTGAATTGAATTAACTTGGAAAAATCATTCAGGGGAGGATCTTGTTTCCCGAGGAGGAGTGGATGAATGATTCACGGGGTGGTTCTTTGCATTCTTTACCTTGTAGTCACGTCGGGCGGAGTATCCAGCTAGCCCGGCAGATACCTGCCGAGTTGAAACGTACCTCAGCCGCCCGCCGCTGGCGTGCGGCAGACGTCCGCAGGGGACGAGTTTCACCTGCCCTCCGCGAACCCCGAGGCCAGCAGGGGAGCCTGGCCCTCCCGGCCTCAGGGGGCGGGGCCCGACGGGAACCCAGACGCGCGCCCGCCCCCTCCCCGGCGCGGCGGAAGCCCCGCCCCCAAGCGCGCTCTCGCGCCGGTGGCGCGCGCTCGCCTGCAGCCCTGAGTCCTCGCGCCCTCGCACCGGGGGAGGGCTCGCCGCGCGTGCCGGGCGGGGAAGCGGCGCGAGCCGGGCGCTGAGAACGTTCGCCGCGGGGGCGGCTCCAGGGCCTGAGAGCGCTGGTGCCGTCTCTGCTGCGAACGCCGGGCCGGAGGCGGCGGAGGAGGCTGCGGCCGCGGGAGACCTCGACGCCCCCTGCTCCGGCCGGGAAGTGAGTAAGGTGGGGACCGCGGCGGCGGCCGCGGCTGCGTTAGAGGTGCACGGTGCGGGAGCCTCTCGCCCGCGGGGAACGGGAAGGAGCTCGCGCGACCCCTGGACCTCGGGATCCTGCGTGGGTGCAGGGCCAGGCGCGGCGGAGACGGCGCGCGGGGACCCGGGGCCGCTGCACCGCGCGCAGCTTGGGGAGACGGCGCCGCGCTCACGGCCCTGGAGGGGCGAGCGGAGGGGATGGAGCGGAGCCCTGGGCCGGCGCCGCCGGGTTCTGAACCCCGGGCCGGGGAGGGGGGTCTCCGGGTTCCCGAGCGCGCTGTGGCCGTCGGGCGCAGACTCGGGGTGCCGGCGCTGGGCTGATGCTGCTGGAGCCCTGCTCGCTAGAAGGAGGCTGTGCTTTAGGTGCTGAAAGGGGGCAGAGGAGGCAGGTCCTGGCAGAGGGCAGGTGAGGCAGGCAGGCCCTGGCAGAGGGAAGGGAATTCATTTCAAATCACCCCAAAACACTATTTCTCGTAGCGCCAAACAGTGAACCTGCGCATCGTGTCACCCGTGGAAGGAGAGTGTGCTGGGAGGAGAGAGGATGCAGCTAACGAATGCTTGCTGTTCAGTTTCTGTGCCAGGCCTTGGGATTGTGAAGACCTTTCAGCATTCTTAGCAAACGTTTATTGATTAGCTAGCTACCGCGGGTAGAGAACCATGGTCAGCACTGGGACCACAAAATAGTATCCAGACACAACCATAATTTGCTGTTTAGGTGCTAACAATTCGTTTGTGAAAGTCTGCGTATAAAATACAAAGCAGCATTAAATTTTGTCTTACACCGTATTCACTTTAGGTCTCTTTCCTTTTTCCCTACCTAGTATTGGAACATTGGAGCCATAAATTACTTGGTTTGAAGATAAAGCAGGAGGGTCAAGGAAGCTTGTGGGAGAAACTTAGGATGTTTTTGAAGGCTCTACTGTGTAACATTTAAAAGGAGAAAGAAGAAAAAATTTGAAAAGAGAAAACTTCCCTTCCTTCCCTGCTATTATTAAGCTCCTTGACTATTCACTGCTGAATCCTCAGTGAATATTTCACTTAGCATGATGCTCTCCAGTTCCATCCATGCTGTTGCAAAGGGTAGGAGCTCCTTCTTTCTTTCTGCTGAGTAGTATTCCATTGTGTAAATGTACCATAGTTTCTTGCTAAGTGAAATAAGCCAGATGGTGAGGGACAAATACCTTAGATCTCACCTTTAAATGGAACCTAATCAACAAAACAAGCAAGCAAAATATAATCAGAGACATTGAAACTAAGAACAACCTGACAGTAACCAGAGGGGAAGTGGGAGGGGGTAATGGGAGGGAAGGTGGGAAAGAAGCGTTTTCAGGAATAACTATAAAGGACACATGGACAAAACCAAGGGGGTGGTGGAAGCCTGGTAGGAAGGTGGGGATGGCTGGGGTGGGTGGGGAATGGTGGGGGATAAATGCAGACAACTGTACCTGAACAACAGTAAAAAAAACCCAAAAACTAAATGTAACCTATCATTGAAAAATAAAAAGTAAATAAAAAATAAGTAAATACATCCTCGGCCAGACAAGAACTGTGCCCGGCCGACCAGCAGCTGAGCAAGAAATGTTTATTGCCTGAGTGAATGAAGCCGGCAAGGTTTTGCTATGTATTACACAGAGCAGTATTAATTACTCTGAGTAGCTGATGGAAGTCTGCTGTTCCTAATGTCCGTCTCCCCCCCCCCCTTTTTTTTTTGCCACATATGGTAACCCAGGTTCATAGGCCCCAGGTATTTAAAACCATGGCTAATTGCAGGTTGGCCCATCAGGAACGTAGTCCTTGGCCCATTGCTTCAAATCATCCCTTTTCTGGCTCTTCTCTTTTCTGTCATTTGAAGAAGAGTACTTCTGTCTAGGGAACACTTTTTTTTTTTCACTTTTATCCTGGTTCTTGGATTGTAGGTCTGTAGTAAGAGAGTGAATGTATCTCTTCTCCTCTGTATGGGCTGGAATTCTGCCTGTTCCCTGCCTTGGTCGGGCTTCTGGACTCCGCAGCTCCAGCCTGCTGTCTCAGTTCCCTGGGCTGCAGTGCCTGTTTGGTTACTTTGTGTGCCAAATGAAAACTTGACCTTTTATGAGTTCTGTGAGGGTTTTTATCATACATAAGTGGAGCTCCCTTGGAAGGGGGTTGTGTAGTCAGAGCAGCGCTGACGAGGTTTTCACGAGTCCACTCTGCGAGAGACAAAATTTCTACTTAGAAAATTAGACTTGCGACCAGTAGAATGCTGAGTTACCCCTTATGTTCTATCTTTACTAGAAATCTCTAAGGACCTTTGTTTCCTCATTTAAAAAAATCAGGTCACATTAATCCAAATTTGGCATTGTGCGATCAGTCTTGCAGAATGAAGTTAATTTCTCTGTAGTTTTCATATTGTGTACCTCAGAGTGCATCCAGCCAGGGTACCTTCTTCCAGGTTCTCCCAATGATATTGCATTTTATTTATGTATTTAGTTTACATTTATTTTAAAATCAACTTTATTCATGGGTAATATACATATAAAGCACATAGATGTCCATGCCCAGTAGGATGAGTTTTGAAAATGTGTATCCTTTGTATCCACTATCTTAGTCAGGATATAGAAACCTACATCACCCCAGAAAGTTCCCTCATTCTGGCTTGCAGGCCCCTCCCCTTCTTTAATTCATTTCTAATTACGCAAGCATCAGGGATGTGGTGTCTAGTTGTGCAGGATGCACACTGCCCGGCTTTAGGGGGCGCCGTGGGCAGCAGAGTCCCTGTGAATGGCAGCTCAGTCTGTGGGGCCCGGTGCCGCAGTCTGCAGAGGGCTCACGACTGACTGCGCTGTTGGAAAGTACTCAGGTGGACAGTACGGACAGGATAAAACCCTCCTTGGTGCCCTGCCTTCTCCGCTGAAACTGTAGTTAACGGTTTGCTGTGGTCCTCCCCGACCTGTCTCTGTGAGTTTTCATCTATGTACAGGTGATACAGAAAAACCAGACTTGCCCTGCACCCCTCGCGTTGGTGACACCATGCTGTACACGCTGTTCCGCAGCTTGTTTTCTAACAGAATATCTGTGGTCGTCCCGTGGTGAGACGTGGGGGTCTCCCTGGTCCTTCCTGACCGCTACACACTCTCTTATGAAGTGTGCCTTGTGTTGCCGTGGGGACAGTGCTGCAGTGAGTGAGAGGCACACTCGCCGGGTCAGAGGGGTGCACATTTAAAATTTTAATTGCTGCAGATTGAACCATGTTGCTACTTGTGGATCTGATTCATTTTTTTTTAAATTGCTGAATAGTGTTCAGTTGTAGACTGAAATGGCTGTTTATGGTGTATGTTGCCTTCACTCAGTGAAGGACGGTTAGATTGTTTTGGATACGGATTTTTTTGATGGATATATGTGTCGTGAAGGCGCCCCGCCAGTCTGAGGCTCGCCTTTCCCCTTCGCTCACAGTGTCTTTGTATACAAGTTTTAAATTATCATGCTTTTTTGGAAAATATTTTGTTAAAAAAAGTTTTTGTGTGTCTGGTTAAGTAAATTTTTCTTTACCTCAGGATATGAATTACATATTTCTGTATTTCCTTCTAAAATTAAAAAATAAATTTTGCTTTCAGTGTGAAATTTTTATACGGTATAACGAAGAGAGATAATGTGTTTTTCAGTTAGCATAACCAGTTTTTCACAGTTTTTGTCATAATTAAAAAAATATTTTATTTGTCTATTTTTAGAGAGGGGACAGGAAGGAGAAAGAGGGGGAAAGAAACATCGGTGTGAGAGAAAAACATTCATCTGTTGCCTCTGTTACACACACCAAACCTGCGGGACTGGGGATCAAACCTGCAACCCAGGCATGTGCCCGGACTAAGGATCGAACCCACAACCTTTTAGTGTACAAGACAACACTCCAACCAACTGAGTCACCAGGCCAGGGCAAGAACGTTTTCATCTTTCCCACCTGAAACTCTGTACCCATTAAACTCTAACTCCCAGTTCTCTCCTCCGTTCAGCTCTGGGAACCACCATTCCACTTTCTGTCTCTATGAATTTGATGACTCTGCTACTTCATAGAAGTGGGAACATACAATATTTGTCCTTTTGTGCGTGGCGTATTTAACTAAGGGTGATGTCTTCAGTGTTTACATCGTTGCGTGTCAGGAGTTTTCCTTTTCCAAGGCTGATTACTATTTCATTGTATGTATATATCACATTTGTTGTTCATTCATCCGTCCGTGGACATTTTAGTTGTTTCCGGCTTTCAGCTGTTGTGAGTAATGCTGTTGTAAAGCTGGGTGTGCAAATACATTTTCAAGGCCCTGCTTTCAATTCTCTTGTGTATATACCTGGAAGTGGAACTCTTCATGATAATTTAGAAGGTAATATACATGGCAATATGACCGAAACGGGTGGATCATACAGAGAGTTCCTGTACACCTGTTCTTCCCCATCTGCAGTTTCCCATTACTGTCTTGCATTAGTGTGGTACGTTCATTACAACTGATGATACATTATTTTTTTAAGTATATGTTATTGGTTATGCTATTAAAATTGTCCCAATTTTTTCTCCCTTTGTCTCCCTCCACCTGGTACCCCCCTTCCCTCCAGCAGTCCCACCCCTTTAGTTCATGTCTGTGGGTCTGCATGTAAGTTCTTTGGCTTCTCCATTTCGTAT